TTGACTATCTACTGTTTGTTGTTTAGTACCAAAAAAAACCAAACAAAAACAAAAACAAAAACAAAAGTCAGAGATTAATTTGAGGTCTAGGTGAAGGTACTTTACGCCAGAGAGAATTTTTGTTTGTTTCTGCTAGAGATCAGCAGTTACTACTAATCTCAGACAACCTCAAACAAAATTCAAGGTTTGAAACCTCTTGGACATCTCAGATAATGTTAATCCAGTCTGCAATTCGTTATGAGGGCTATTTCATTTGTAGTTCACACTGATATCTCCCTCATATCTAGTTCTTTGAGATATCAGTTTATTGTATCTTTTATTAGACTCCTCACCTTTATAGAACCTGACTTTTGATCTCTATCCTCCTGCTTCATGTAGCTGTCGGAAAAAAGGTAATATTTTCTGGGGTTGAAAAATTACCTAAGGGGAAATAAAAGCTTCTAACTTTGTTTTGTCTGTTAAAAATATTTTCCCAGAACTTTAATTTTTTTTAGTGTGGGAGTTGGTCTGAATAACTTAGCTTACCAAATTCTGAAATAGAAACCTATAATGAATTATTATTACAATGTTATTTTATAGACTTTAACTACTTGTCTATTTATGTTTGGTTTGTACTCAGTTTCTAGTTTCTGATACTCTTCATGAGGTCAAGAGTATTTATTTTTAATCATAATTTAATAAGTGTTTTTAATATAAATCTATTTTAAAGTCAATAAAATACCCTGTCATTAATGATTTAAATTTTTTGATGAACATGTAGCTTTTCACTTTAAATTGCTAAATTTCCCTAATGTTAAGCCATTCTTTCATTCTAGAATACATTGCTTTTTAAGTTTAATTGTGTTGTTTCTTGCTGTGGTTTTATTTAGGATTATAGCATCTATTTTCAATAATGATCTATTCCTTTAGTGGGTTATCATGATTGGGTTTTGTTAACAACATTATGCCAGCCCTATAGAATCAGTTGGCAAGTTTACATATTTTCCTTTGATATAGAACTGTAAGTGAAGAACTTGAGATCAAATGTCTCTTAAATACGAAGACATTTTTGTCTACTGTATCTTTAATTATTGCTTCTCTTCTCTCTACATTCTTTCTACTTTGATTTCTATTAAATGAATTCATTTTAAAATTACAATATCTGACCATTATGCTCTGCATATTTGTGTGGAGGAATAGAGGGAACCCTACTTAATCTGTTGACTTTTTCTCAAGCTCCAATGCGCACCACAGGAATCCACTAAAGCTTGAGCCCATGGACAGATGCCTCAGCCTCATGCTATATGCATATATTATAGCTCCCAAATTCTCCAACAACTCTATTGAATCTCTCAAAGTCTATTCCTACTTATAGCCCTGTGATCTGAACTTTGAAATTTTCCATGACTCTAAGGAAAATTTATCCATTCTCCTCTCAGTAAACCTCTTATTTTGTATTAGATTTTAGCTACTTAGTTGATATTCATTTCTCTATCAATACCATCTTTTTGTATCTTCCAAAAGTTGCTGAAATTTTCTAGCCCTTTATATTTGCTTTCCATCTTTCTACAGATTTATTATATATACTTTTAGATTTTTTTCTTTTTGAATTTCAGATGGAAAAAGGAGAGTTTAACATGTAGACTAAGATTATTATTCTAACTCAGATGTTGAATAAGCATGATTTTCATATAATACAACCTTATTAAATACTTTCTTTGCCCTTTTAAGATTATTCGGCAGGGTAAATTCTTTTTCCACCATTGAAGCCTGCCTCAAACAGGCCTTGTGATTTTTCTGGTTACTTTTAGGTAATTTAAAACCACTAACACTGTCCCAATTTAGTCATTTCAAGCATTTAATCCTAAGTAATACCCAAAGCCTCCACATGCATTCACAGATGAGACCTTTCCTTTGCTCCCACTCCCAGGACTCTTGCAGGTGTGCTACCTGCCCTTCCATAGAAGTTCTGTGATTGTCCCCTTAGCGCAAACTCATTCATTCTTACCCTCACTTCCTAACTGCTACTTATGACTCCTACAGGTTTGGGGTAGGAAGAAGGGAGGAGTAGTAATTAGAGTGGAAAAGTTCTAATTTAACTGACACTCCTATAAGTTGACATTATGACCCTGTGCCTGACAAGTAATTAAAACTGACTCTTTCGATCACAGACACATTCATAATGCTTCAGAAATCAGGAAATGTTTAAGACGATGCATATTCGTCAGGATAGCCATTTCCCTCTTATCTCCTAGTTTGTTAATCAATAGGAAGTCTTTCTGAAGGTCCTTTTGGAAGGACTGAAGATGACTCCAATTCAGATCATCTATAAAACCTTTATATCTACAAATTCTTGGATCCAGACCACTGAACAGAGCTTTTTATTCCTTCTATTCAAGCTGCTAAGTAACCTGGATATTTTACAGGTGGGAATTACTTGTCTGCTGTCTCAACAAATTGCAGGAGTGTCAGGGTCCACAAGATCACATTCAAGTTCGATAATTTACTAGAAAGACCCACAGAACTCAGAAAAGCTGTTATATTTGTGATTATAGTTTATTACAATGAAAGGTACAGGCTAAAATCAGTAAAGGGTAATCAGTTGTCCTCTCCCATTGGAGATGCATGGAGAGCACTTAATTCTCCCAGCAACAATGTTTGACAATAGGTACAAACTAGTGTACCGGGGAAGCTCACCCAAGCCTTATTGTCCAGAGTTTTTACTGAGGTCAATTACATAGGCATTGAGGGCTCACCTAACTTTAGCTAGTCTCCAGCCCTCCAAAGGTCAAATTGATATAGCATGGCTCAGGGTCCCTGGTGAACAAAAAAGATATTCATCACAATTTACATTGTTAATAAAAACTATTTGGAATGGCCCAAAGTCTCAGGTATACAAAGATATGCTTATTAAGCAGGATATTCTAAAGAATAAGAGGTTATCTGTCAGGGGCCAGTTCTTTCTTTTGAATGTGCAGGGTTTGAGTATCTGAAGCCCACTGAGTGAACCCTTTAATACACAGAAGAGGGCATATATCAACTCTCTAAGTCATCCTATTTCATGCCTTAAGGAGATGGAGTGCATGTTCAAACCAGTCCTTTGTGTGGAGTGAGGATGGCTCTCAATATAGCTCAATAGCTCAAACCTTGGTTAGTCAGATATTTGTATTTTTCATGTTTTCCAGCATAGTCTCTCTGCAACTTTCTGGTATCTTGGCTGTAGAGTCCATATATTATCATATTACAATACAGTAATGATGACGTTTTTAAAGTCAAAGGAGTGTTCCAAATGAGGGGAAAAAAAGAAAGAGAGAAAAAGGAGAGGAAAGGGAAAAAGGGAAACTAGGACACTAGACATAGGAGAAGGGGAAGGGAGAGAAGGGCGTGTAAAACAAAGTGTGTCGGGATGTGAAATTTGAATGGATGTTGTAAACCAAGAGAAGGATGCCAAATTTTAAGGCCACCCATCTAATGAAGACTGTCATCTTGCAATAGCTCTCTTTTGTTTTTGCTGAAGGGGTTCTTTTTCTTTTCCGATATTTGAAACATTACTTTTCTTATAATTTGTTATTAAAATTGGTTCATCTTGTCTAATTGTCTACCATCCATCTCTTCAAAATAAAGTAAATAAATTAATGAATGTCACTTTATAAGCTTGTAACTTCAAGGATGGTAGAATAAGAATTAGGTGGGGGAGCTAGAAGACTTAAATTGTAAATGCTCTCTTCAGCTATTGTAATTTTAGGGGAGTCCATTTACCTCTCGGACATCGACTTTTTCTTATTTCCAATGACAGAGATGTCAGGTCGCTGGAGAAGATGACCTCCAAAATGACATCAGAGCTAAAGTTTTCTAATTTTGTTGAGTTACAAAAAGTAACTCACAGTTCCTGTTCTTCTTCAGCTCTTTAATTAAATCTGAAGCGTCATTTGAAATTTGAGTCTTATTGGGCAATATGGTTAGTGGCTCTTCCACAGAAGCTGTTGTAGTTGTTCTAAGCCTTTCAAGATAGTGTAAAGTTATGCCCTAAGAAAACTGGGGGCTGATGATATGACTTTACTAATTTGTCTTACTCTGTGAAAACAGTAATATAGAAAAAGTATATGCTTTTCAAAGAATTCAGTGTTTTCCAAAGGCTCTTTGAGATTAGAACTGGACAATGCATGATTATTCTTTGTCGGAGTTGAGGAGTAGCCATAAAAAAGTCAGATGATTTGAGTTAGTTTTGGTCTTATTGAGACCCCAATTCAATCATTCAAGATGTGGCTCAGAAAAAGCAGAAGGCAGAATAGATGCATTGCCTCAGATTCTAAACAGGAATACAACAAAATAATAGTGAAAGCAAAAGTATCTCTGTCGTTCTTAGGGTCAGAGAGAGTGTGTTGCTCTTATAGCCAAGTGTTGGCGTTAGTGATATTCTCCAAGTCCAAACGAAAATTAAGATGACTTGCCCATGCTGACGCATGCAAATCACAGGAAATGGAGACAATTTCAGGCATTTCATGGTGTATAAGTGGCAAAACAGAAAGTCTCTTAAGGGGATGGAAAAGAGCCCACAGCCTTGATATCATTTTGGGTGGCCTGGACAAAGATGAATGTGGACCTGGATGCTCTTTGGCACAGAATAAAACAGAGTTTGAACTGTGGCTCCTCACTAACTACAAGTCAATGAACTAACTTCACTAACGCACCAAGTAAAACAGGCACTCTAAAACAGGGGTTCCCAACCACTGGACCACAGACAGGTATCTGTCTGTGGCCTGTCAGGAACCAGGTAGCACAGTAGGAGATGAGCAGTGAGCCAGCAAAGCTTCATCTGTATTTGCAGCCACTCCCCAGCGCTAGCATCACTGCCTCAGCTCCACCTCAGATCATCAGGCATTAGATTCTCATAGGAGCATGGGTCCCTGGTCCAAAAGCTTCAGGGACTGCTGCTCTAAATGATACGGACGCTCCTTTTCTTCCTCTCTGTGAGTACACCAATAAATTGCACCCTAAACAGTTAGAGCCAGAGGACGAGAGAAGGGCAAGCAACGTGTCCCAAAGTGATCAAGAATTGTTCTGCTTTCTTCCTGGGGAAATTTCATTTATTTTTCATGAAATTTGTAGTCTTAGATGAACTTCAGTGTGAGCAGTAATATTCCTCTTGTTTTGCAACATTGGGAATAATAGTTTGAGGTGGAGAGAGCAGAGCTTGCTTTCCCACAAGAAAATATCTTTGTATTTTGTTAACCAGATTTATTTAGAGTTATATCTATAATATCTCTATTTTGGGGCATTCAATTAAAAATGTAGAAAAATTGCATGCTGTCTTGCTTTGTTCAATAAATAAAGTTCCTAAAATATTTTATAAGTTGAATCATTTAATTTGTTAGAAGAATTTTATAAAATAAATAGCCAAATCATCTCTTTTGAATTGTGTTTTCGAATCTTCATAAAGGGAGGCTCACCTATATTTTACACATAATTTTAAGAGGCAGTATTTTAGGTTTAAAGTATATAAGCTTTGGATTCATCTCATCTAACTAGTTGTATAAAGCAAAATAATTATGAATATCAATTTTTATGTGGAATATTTTAGCGGTCAGATCAAAAGAGGCCAATATTTATGGTTATGCTGATCAGAAACAATGGAAAATTTTCTGTCTAGTATCCCTTTTTCTATGATGCATAGACAGACAATATTACAACTCCCTGAATATGGACCCTACCGGGCCATACTTTAACAGTTCTATGATGTATACCCAGCCTGCTGGAACTATTTGCAAGACAAGGCCATTGAGGCCCAAATACCTTTCAAAGATCTTCCTATGCTAAGGTTAAATCGAGATGAAGTTACAAGAATATCCATACATCAGAGTAGATTGTCTCAAAACAACATTGTTAATGTATTAATGATAAATAAAAAAATATCCCACAGGTCTATACTGCTTTGCCACCTTCAAAAAGTTTTCACATGTTATCTCAGATATGAACTATTATACCTATTTAATAGACCTTCCTGTTTGCCTCTTTTTGAGGTCACTATCTCAGAAAGAACACCACACACAGAGCAGTGAGCTGTTTATCCAGCTCCTTCAGGTCAGTATGCCTGGGGACTTGGAGAAAATAACGTAGTACTATAAATACCAGATATAGTCACCCCAATTAAGTGCAGAGTTTACCTATGCATACCTTGGTCAAAGCTCACAGCAATAATCTGAACTCATCTCTTTGATCATTTAAACCTGAAAGACGAAATGATCAAAATGGAGGGCAAAAGGTTGTTTTTATTTTTAGGTCACCAAAAATACGAAACTGTTGGGTCAGGATGATCCATGAAGGAAGAAAAACAAATTCAAACTATGACTAACAAGGCCTGCTGTGCATGAGTCACAAAGTAGATGGAGCAAGGCCTCTGGAAACAGGAGGAAAAGCATTTAGGAGCCACATCATAATCAAGCAATGAGCCTCGTAACTTGTTGGTCTAGTCACTGAACTATTTCAACCCCTGGGTGAAGTACAGGAGGAGAAAGGTCAGGCAGTTTAAAAATCATTTCTCTTTCCTACCAAGAATGTTTTCAGTGACCTTGAGGAAGTGTTTAGGAATGACTTTCTTAGGTGTAAACATAAAAATAGTGGGAGTTTAGCTCAGCACTGGGGGATTACTTGTTTCTGAGTCGATTCCAAGGCATACTTCTTGAGGGAGGGAACTAATTTTGCAAAGGAGGAAGGTAACTGTTGTACAGATTGCACTTCTACAAATTAGAAAGGGATATCTGTAAACAAAATATCTTTATGGTATACAGCATGGCAACTGAACATAGAAGTTTGAGGTCCTTAGCTTTTTTTCCTCAGTGTTGATTTGTATTAAAATTCAGGAGGAGTCCAAAATTGTATTCCAAATTGCTCCTTCCTTTTGATCTAACTTGGACACTCAAATTCATAAAAAGTTGTACTTCCTATAAATATGATAGTAATGAATTTTATTTGAATTCTCAACTGAGTATGTGTCTCTTAAAGACATTTTTCTCTCTGCCTCACCAATTTCTCATAGAGTTCAGGCTCCTTATCTAGGGAAAATGCCACAATACTTGATCTGACCTGGGAAGTTTGCCCAATGAAGATAAATTGATGTTCAGGTAAGCCAGTTTTTATCACAAGGATGGACATTAGTAATGCAGGTAGAGAATAAAGAGACAAAGAAGCTAATTGGACACAGTTTCACTGCCTGATTGTTCCAGGAAGTACTTGGTTCCACAGCCAGCCGGCCACATGGCAGCAAAAGGAAGAAAACTGATCTCATCCTAGGGCTTCCCTCCCTCTTGCTAGTCTAACTGTGAAAATTCTCCTTCAGGCAAGACAGTAAAATAACTAGCTCTAAATTTCTCATTCCCAGCCTCATTCCCTTTGACTGGACAGAGAGACCTCTGTCCAGGTCACCAATGAACCCATCTCCACTACTTTGAGATAATGTAAGGCAAACCAAAGGCTGATTCCTTAGTTGTCATTCCACTCAAATTGTCCTCAAACTGGCATTTCCCCCTCATATAAGCAATGATAATTAAAGAATAATTATTAGAAAGAGGGCATAGTACTGAATAAAAGAGCAAATCAGCATTTTTAAAATGCCACCACCATAACAATGACACTGAAGTCAGACATTCGTTTTGTTCCTGGTTGGCTGATTTGTTGAGGTTGTTGTTACTGTTCTTGTTTTCTAATGACTCTTCATTTATTCTCATTTGTAGGACTAGGGAAGGCACTAGAACGATGATTAAAAGCACAGACTTTGGGATCAGACAAACTGGGGTACAAATTCTAACTCTGCAATATGACAAAATGTGCTTGGCAGCTGTCTTTCCCACAGAGTTGGAATGAAGACTAATAAATAAGAACTTACATATATTAACCTGCTAATTGTGTGCTAATATTGCATTGATAGCCTCAAGGACATTGGATTTTCTGATTTAAGCAGTATGGCATGATGTATGCTATACCTCAGAAATAGAGTTGGCTTTACAGGCATTTTTCTTGATAACCATCTGTCTATCTGATGTGCATTTGTAAGTAACTGAACAGGAGTTATGAATATTAAGTCCTAAAGTATACAACCTCTCATTCTCGACTGTCTCTATCTTCAAAACATAGAGAATACATCTTGGAGGATCCATATAGTATACCTTTTCTATATTGTGTTAGTTATCTATTGCTGTATCACAACCATCCCAAAGGTTGGTGGCTTAAAACAATAACCATTCATAAATGCTCACAAATCTGTGGGTCAACTGGGCCATTTATGCCTCATCATCTAGTAGGCTAGCTCTGGCTTGTTCACAGAAGGTCACAGGTTCTAAGAGCAACAAGAAAGCAAGCCACGGTATGCAAGAACTTTACAAGTCTCTTTGTCTTTCTAAATAATATCACAAAGCCGATCTAGATTCAAAGCATGAAGAAAGATGCTACTTCTTGAGGTAAGAGCTACAAGGTAACATTGCAAGGTCAAGGTTATGGGCATACAGAGGGAAGTTTTTGGCTATTTTGCAATCTACCACATGTTTTTTGATCATCATCCTAATCCTTTTTCTTTCAAGTCTAGTCACACAGAAAATTATAAAATCTTTGACCTAATCTATCTTCCCCCCCATCCCCCACCCTTCCCTATTCCACCAGGTTTCTTCTGGGTCCATTCAAGAAAGTGTGAAAGACCGAGTGATTGACTCAAGACTGCAGCTGTTTATCACCAAGCCAGGACTCTACACATGCATAGCTACTAATAAGCATGGAGAGAAATTCAGTACTGCAAAGGCCGCAGCCACTATCAGTATAGCAGGTAGGATGGATTTTCATAATTTCATTGCTCCAGAAGAGAAGAGTTGGCACTATTCCAAAACATCTCATATTGGGGGAAATCATTTTTTCTTTTTTCTCTCAGTCTTGTCCCCTTTGGGCTATTTCTTCCTCCATGGGGACACTCCAGAAGTTGACCAGATAATTGATTTTGCTGATTTGTTTCCTCAAAAAACTAAATTCTCAAATACCTGCTCAAGTGATGGGTAACAGCTTACAGGAGTCCATTTCTATCTCTTTTTCTTTCTCTTCTTTTCCTCCCTTTCTTCTTCCTTTCATCCTCCCTTTTTCCCTTCTTTCTTCCTTTCCTTTGTTCCCTCTTTTCTTTCTTTTTCTCTTCTTTCCCTCTTCTCTCTCAAATTTTTCCCTTCTTTCTCTCTCTTTCTCTGGGTTAATCAAACTTCCCACGACTCTCCAGAGTAAGCTGGTAAGTATTTAAAATGGTCGTGCCAATTTCTTTATGGCTATTTCTTGAGGGCATTTTTATTGAGGAATACTTCTCTCCCTTGTGGTCTTTCATTTTCCTGTTTCCTGTAAGTGATAGCAGGACTTACAGGTGTTTTCAAGAAAAAGAGCTGACACATGGATTTCTAGGATATTTGGGTTGAGTAATAAAGGTTTATTTTTAAAATTTAAATGTTCCAAAGGCTTGAGAACATTTCATCCTAGAGATGAAAATAATCCCTGTAGCAGGAAATGCCTGTCATGTTATATTCACAGCATGCCTACAGCCCAAAGGTAAGAAGAGAGATGCTTGTTCTCACACACAGGTCGTAGGCCGAGCACTGGTAGAACCTGTGCCCAAGACCAGCTTCCCAGAGCCTGGTGATTTCTTATTACAGTGCCACTTCTTTGATTTTCTCTGATAGGGAAATTTCTAGTAATGTTTGTGATTTTTAATATGAGGTGAACAGAGACCACAGAGAGATATAAAGGAAGCGTTGGACAAGGCTGGCCTTCTGAGGCATGCCTGTGAAGGAAAAAGAGGATTCCAAAACCAAGGTTCCTTCTGCCTTCTCCAGGGAAATATCTGCCTATATTGTCTTGAGATATTATATCAGTTATTCTAGAATTTCCACTGATGGGAAATCATTTCCCCCAGAGAATATGGGTGAGAATCTTAAAAGTAAATTCAACTCAGTTTAACAATTGTAAAATGATTACTAGCTACATAACACTTTGTTGTTTGTTTATAAAGAACTCTTATACGCATTTATGTATTGGATTCAGGATATTGTGTTAGGTAAAGGATGCAAATTTAATTAACAAATGGGATAATTAACTATGTAGTCCTTGCCTTCCAGGGATTTTCAATCCAGAAAAAAAAGTCAATCAGCAATATATATTATGGCACAGACTATGTTCTATGGCAGAAGCATAAACAAAGTAAACAGGAAAACAAGAGGGGAAGATTTTAAGGGAATGGAGCAGGAGACATGAGAATGAGATGGAAAGGTTGAAGTGTGTTCAGAAAACAGCAAGTCAGTTGTCAAGACTAGAGCATGATGGAGACTGGGAATGAGGTAGAGAGTGAAAAGAAAGGTTTGAAATGTGGGCTCTAGTGAAGAGCCTGAACGGGTTGAATATGTTCTTCAATCAATGGGAAGTCATTTAATTTCTTTAGAGGGGATTATGGTCAGATACATCCTTTATCAAATTAATAGATGTTGGGTGTCAAAAATTTAAGAGACATGGCAAGAAGTTAGGAGGCAATTCCAGGAGTCTAGAAAAGTCATCAAGGTCTGAAAAGAATAGCAGCAATTAGTGTAGAGACTAGAATAGATGTATGAGACCTACCGGGATAGAAATGATAATATCTGAAAGAGCTTGAATGTGACAGGACAGCAGGAGAATGAGTTAAGGTGTGTCTGAGAGTTTGAGGATGGTGTCTAGGACAAATAATAATCGATAAAACAAAATAAAACATAACATGAGAAAGTTCAGGAGATAAAATAACTAAATGTTGATGCCTTTTAATTACTTGGAATTATTCTAGTTTCATTATCTTGTGTTTTATTTGATATTTGATCAAGACCCAATGTTAAATTAATATATATAAATTATATCTGTGTGTATGTGTGTGTATGTGTGTGTGCATGTGTGTATGATCTCTCTATTTGTGTGTGTGGAGAGAGAGATAGAGAGAAAAATATTTACATATGAATACTCAAATCCAAGAAAATACACTTATCTAATCTAGTTTAATTTATACCTCCTCTGTACAAAAGAAGAAAAAATAATATTGCTAATCTTAAGAGAGTCTCATTTAAGGTAATTATTAGTCGTTCGGAGATCAATTCCTGTCAGGGTTCTTCCTGCCGTTCCTCCTTCCACCCCTTTCCTAGATGGCAGGGTAGAAGGGAACCTGAATTTATGCAGTGGTATCCTCTGGAACTCCCTTTCTCTAGTGAAATCTATAGCTGCAGCACTTATGATCTCATCTCTGGGCTTGGTTAGAACCCAGAGGAACTCCCCGGCTGGCTCAGCCCCTTTGAGGCTCCTTCTGCCTCTCAGTGAAATCCTTCGTCAAACCCCTCTCTAGAGGCTCTGAAGCTAGGTCATCCTGTCTCTCTCCACTATGGAAGGCCCGATGAATTCCAACTCAACCCTCTTGTCCCTCATGGGGCCTGAAGCAACTTCTGAATCACTTATAAGTTATATAAAATCCAAGAGCAATTCAGACCTACCCACTCAGCTCTGCTAACTACCCAATCATGTCATGCCACCATTTTTACACTAATGTGGCCATCCCTTGTCAGAATAAGAGATCCCTATAAGATTTTCTTCTTCCAGAGTCCCCAATAAAAAGTAGGAAAAATTCCCTATGCTTTTGGCTTTTTAAAAAAAGTATTAATATACCTCTTTTCTAGGATTTTGGTCCAGAGAAAAGAATCTATAAAATGTGTATTGAATTCTTAATTCTCTTACCTTCTTCCTTTCCACAACATAGGGAGCTGGAGGGACTGGTCAGGGACACCCCTGTAGTGTAGTAACCTTCAGAGCTTACCCATCATAAGTACAAAGAAGAAAATGGTATAATCAATAAGGAGGAGAACCTAAAAAAATGGATATACTTACCCTACAAAGGCAGATTCATCATATGGACACAATTTCCTAGTGGTGGAAGGACTACAAAGCACGATTGTCACCATATCATTTACAGCAACATCGCCCCTGCATTCCTGTCCTAGTCCAAATGAGAACTTGATTCAACTCTGTTGATAAGTATAATACACCAACAGAGGAAACTATAAACCACTCCCTCCTCTCAAGTAATGGTGTTTTCTGATGGTAGAAAGAGCCTTCAGGTGTGGACAGGCAACTTAGAAAGGCAATGTCCCAGAGTTCAGGGCAGAGTGATTGATGTTGAGAACAGACCAGAGAGAGGATGGGGGGAATCAGCAACAGCAGCCCAGAGAAATAGCAACAGAATTCGCATGGGGAAAGGGAATGCATGGATTGGCATGGAGCAGCAGAGAGAGCTTGAAATCTGCTGTAGGAGCTGATTGAATACAGATGAGAAGCACTAAAATTATAGGGCTAATAATCACGTACATTGGAACCAGCAATGACTTGACTAGTCAGCGGGCCTGGAACTGCATGTTTAGCAAGGGTTGAGTACTGTATTTGAACTAATAAATGTGACTCCTTCTGTGCATGGGGAAAAAAAAATGTTACTAAGATGAGTAAAGAGGAACTCCCTCAAGTTGCTAATTCATAAAAAGCTACAAGACCCTTTGTTCAGCCTCTGACTTGTTTTTCATATTCAGTCTCACTGAGAAGACTTGAAGCTCCCCTGCTTTTCCCAAAATTTCCCCAGATAGATCTAAAGAGGGTGTCTTGCGGATGTAATGGAATAAGACCTCTGAACCCCAACAGACATCTGCCATGTTCTCTTCATCTCTTTGACCTGTACTTTTCAATTTTCAATTAAACCTGCTAAATGCCTTATGAATGTTCCTCTGCCATCACTGAGGAAACTACCTTCTAACTCTGGAGTGCTCTCTGGACCAGTATTCTAGAGAAGGGAGGCCACTCTGGTGAAAAAGGAATCCATTGAGTCACTCTAGTTGAGCCACTCTAATTTCAAAAAGCATGCTCTTATGCTCCCCAAATCTTCCAGAGTCTTGGTGTGGCATCTGCTTTCTCTACTTCTGCTTTTGGCTCCTCTCTCCTTTGGTCTCTGATGGGGCTGGCCAGAGATCCAGAGCCTTGAGTCAGATATGGTGCCTCCCTTTGACATTCTGGCAATGCTTTCTTACCCCAAACTCTCCTTTCTCCCATTTCAGTCAACCCCATTCTTCCCTAGTCTTCTGTAGTCAAGAGTCCCCTTTGCCACATTCTTCTTGTCTCACTTTGAAGCTTTTACTCCATCTGTTTATTTATTCATCCCAGCAGGGAAACCTAGAAATGGAAAAATCTGGTCTAGTGCTTAGGATTAAGTCTAATGATACTTCTAGTGTTGAAGGCAGGAAAAAATAAAGCTCAGCCTTTATTTTCCCAAAACTCTTCCATGTGTATGCCCAAATCTTTATGCATTGTTTGAGAAATGTGATATACTTCTTTCTGACTCATTTACATTTGCTGCTAGCCCATCAAAAGGAGTCAGAAAAACTTTTGGAACCTCTCTCTATGAACCAGGAAGTTACATTTCCCCTTCAGTAACAACCCCAAAAGATTCAAGTTGCAATTTAAACTCACCAGGACACCGGATAGTTGGCAAGATTCTTTCTCTTTGTCATCAGAATCCTCAGCCCTGTGGTAGAGACCAGCAAGGCACCAGAGACTGGGCCATTCTTGTAGGAATAGAGACATATTCCTACAAGAGCCAGAGGCCATCAAAATAGATACAGATATTAATTCTACCAAACATTTATAGAAGAACTAACACCAATCTTTCTCAAACCCTTCCAAAAAATTGAACAAGAGGGAACACTCCCAAATTTATGTTACTATGGCCATCATTATCCTGAAACCAAAGTC